AAACCACCAAATCAACCACTCAAATCTAATCCCATTCACAATATTACAAGAGCAGAGATGCAATTGCATAGAGAGAAAGGCCTTTGTTATTATTGCGATGACAAATTGCTTCAAGCTGATGAAGAAGATGCAATTCCCCACTTTAGTGAAACCCCTGATTCACCTACACCTCAACCTAGTCACGTGGGAGACTTTGAACACCATCTCTCTTTGAACGCATTGAATGGGTCACATGGTGCGGGTACCTTGCATTTTCATGGGCAAATACAGGGTGTTCATGTCAGTGTTTTGTTAGATAGTGGGAGCTCTGACAATTTTCTGCAACCTCGAATTGCACATTGCCTCAACATCCCTATTGAGTCCACTGAAAAATTTAAGGTTATAGTAGGTAATGGGAATTCTCTTGAAACTATGGGCTATATTACTGAATTACCAGTGATTGTACAGGGTCACACTCTCCAGCTGCCTGTCTATTTGCTCCCTATTACTAGCGTAGATTTGGTCCTTGGAGCTCCTTGGCTAAAAACTTTAGGTCCTCACATTGCAGATTACAACGCATTATCCATCAAGTTTTATCTAAAGGACACTTTTGTGACCTTATTTGGGGACAAGCACAAAGATCCTAGCTCTGCACAATTCCATCACATCCGAAGACTACACAACACTCATGCTATTGAGGCTTCCTTTACACTACAATTTCAAGAAGTGGGACCATCAATAGGCAGCAAACAAGTGCCTACACATCTTGCAGTAGCATCCATTTTATCCCAATTTCCTGAGATTTTTGTGGAACCACAGGGTTTACCACCAACTCGGTTTCAGGACCATGCCATTCCTCTGGTGAAAGGAAGTAATCCAGTTAAGGTATGCCCTTATAGATATTCGCATAGTCAAAAGGCTCAAATTTATTCCATGGTTGCTGATATGTTAGACCAAGGCATTATACAACCTAGCAATAACCCTTTTTCATCACCGATGCTATTAGTTAAGAAGAAAGATGGATCTTGGCGGTTTTGTACCGATTATAGGGCCTTGAATGCAATCACTATCAAAGATAGTTTTCTAATTCCCATTACTTTTCTAAGCTTGACCTTAGGTCCGGATACCACCAAATTCTTGTCAAAGAAAAGGACAGACATAAAACAGCCTTCCGGACTCACCAAGGCCTTTACGAATGGCTGGTAATACCCTTTGGCTTATCAAATGCACCGGCAACCTTTCAGAGTTTAATGAATCACGTCTTCCAACAGCATCCTCGGAAATTTGTCTTGGTATTTTTCGACGATGTTTTGGTTTACTCTCCTTCTTGGGAGACACATTTGATTCACTTGACTGAGGTACTGCACTTAATGCGTTCACATTCTCTATATGCCAAATTGTCCTGATGTTGTTTTCGATTTACCGAAGTTGATTACTTGGGGCACATCATTTCACACCAGGGAGTTCAAATGGATCGATCCAAAATCCAAGCCATTTTGAATTGGCATACCCCTACTAATTTGAAGCAACTGCGTGGGTTCCTAGGACTGTCTGGTTACTATCTCCGTTTTGTGCGTCACTATGCAACCATTGCAGGTCCTTTGACTGAACTATTAAAAAAAGATGCATTTACTTGGACCCTCCAAGCCACTACTGCCTTTGAGGATCTCAAACATGCCATCACAGCTGCACCAGTGCTAGCTCTACCAGATTTTCATAAGCCATTTATACTAGAAACGGATGCTTCCGGCACCGGCATTGAGGCAGTATTGAGCCAAGATAAGCACCCCATAGCATACTTCTCCAAGAAACTCAACCCCACCATGCAGCGCAAGTCCTCTTATGTAAGAGAATTATATGCAGTCATCGAGGCAATGGCCAAGTTTTGACACTACATTCTTGGTACCAAGTTTATCATACGCACGAATCAAAAAAGCTTAAAATCCTTGACTGATCAAACTATCCAGACACCAGAGCAACAAAAGTGGTTACACAAGTTTTTGGGATTTGATTTTTCCATTGAGTATAAACCCGACAAAGACAATATTGCAGCGGATGCCTTGTCCCGTTCATTCTTTGCTATATCAGAACCTATTAATCCTTTGTTGCCCTTGATTGTAGCTGCCATCGATGCTGAGTAGCATTTGTCCTCTATTAAACAACAATGTGAGCTAGGTACTTGTGTGGACCCATTGTTCAGTGTGCACAATGGTGTTTTGTACTGGAAGCAGAAAGTAATGGTACCCCATACGAGCCATGTAATTCAAGCCATTTTGGAAGAATTTCATTCTTCTATGTTGGGTGGTCATTCTGGTATAGCTCAAACTAAAGCTCGCATTATGTCACAATTCATTTGGCCCTCTATGTCGAAAGATATTCGCTTGTTTGTTTCAAATTGTTTGGTGTTTCAACAAGCAAAGTCCTCCACTGCTGCACCTGCAGGGCTGCTCCAACCACTTCTGATTCCGACCCAAATTTGGGAGGACCTATCCATGGACTATATAACTGGCCTTCCTCCTTCGCATGGCTTCACTATGATCATGGTAGTGGTTGATCGCTTATCTAAGTACAACCATTTTGTTCCCCTCAAGACTGATTTTACTAGCTTTAAGGTAGCCGAAGCCTTCCTTCACAATGTGGTGAAACTACATGGCTTTCCTAAGAGTTTGGTGTCTGATCGTGATAAAGTATTTACAAGCTCGTTTTGGCAACATTTGTTCAAACTGAGTGGAACCACTTTGGCTATGAGTTCGGCTTATCACCCTCAGTCCATTGGACAAACTGAGGCAGTCAATAAGTGTCTCGAACTGTATTTACGCTGTTTTGTTGGGCAGGTATCTCAGAAATAGGCCAAATTGATCGACTGGGCTGAATTTTGGTATAATTCTTCCTTTCAAACTAGTATTGGCATGACTCTGTTTAAGGCGGTTTACAGTAGAGAACCTCCTCCATTGATTAAGCATGACATCGCTACGGTAGTAGTTCCTTCTCTCCATGATATGATAGTTGAACGTGACAATACCATTCAACTATTGAAGAACAACTTACACAGGGCACAACAAGTTATGAAGCATAATGCTGATTTGAAACGACACTTTGTGGAATTCCAGTTGGGAGATATGGTTTTGGTCAAGTTGCAACCATACCGCCAACATTCAATGGCTTTGCATCGCAACCAGAAGTTGAGCATGCGTTACTTCGGGCCTTTTCCTGTAGCATACAAACTTTTACTTCCACCCTCTGCTAAGATCCATCCTGTTTTTCATGTGGTCAACTTAAAGTTGTGTAAAGGTGACCAAACTACTCAATACTTTTCACTACCATTGCTCACCAATGATACTGGTCCCCTCTTAGTTCCTGAAGCTATTCTGGATTCACGTGTGCTCATTATGAAAGGGCAAGACATACAACAAGTCTTAGTTAAATGGGTTGATTTTCCACATCAGGATGCTACATGGGAAAATTGGGTAGAGTTCATGACCAACTATCCCAACTATCCCAACTTTAACCTTGAGGACAAAGTTAATTTTGATGGAGGGGGTAATGTTATGAGTGAGGGCAGAATAGTCAATACAACAACTGAATCCAATGAGAATGATGGACACTTGGCACATGATCCTACTTTTCCGGAACCAAGACGTGGAATGAGAGAAAGAAGCTCTAACAGAAAATATGCCACTGACTATGTTAAATAGGCCAATGATTGGTTACTAGAAGGGGGAATTGAATGTGGAAGAATATGACTCTCTTCTCTCTCTGAAGCTTATGCTTTTTTAGTACTATTCTTTAGATTTTATCTTTCCATTTCCTTCATAGGATAATTGTGTTGTTGCACTGATTATTAGTACAATTTTCATCACTTTTCTATTGTGTTATAGGTTCTGTTATTTGCATTCATAACACTAACATGAGTTTTTTTTAATTAAGATTTTATTTATTTTTGAAAATTTTTCTTTTATTATATGTTAAGAATTGTGGTTGATTGTAACACAAACGTACAAAATCAGCTTATAAGGTGAGAACTACTCCCACTTATAAGCATATGTCATGCCATATATTATCCAATGTAAAACTCTTAACACACATTCTCACGTCCAAGAAGAGACAATTGAAGCAGAAAAAAAATGGTGGGTGACCCAATAATGAAAAACAAATAACATATGACCCACTAGATATTAAGCGAGATTTCTGATACAATGTTAAGAATTATAGTTGGGACTAACTCAACCATAAAAAAATGATTTGTAAGATGTAAATTATATATAGTAACATGTTCAAACTATATATTGTTCGATGTGAAACTCTTTAACATTATATATATTTTTCTTACGAATAAATTTTTAGAGTTTAAATGTGTTCCATTAAGATAATATATTTTTTTAAAGAGTGTTTGACCTTCTTTTTATTATGAGTTAAGCCAAGTTCAACATTTTATTATGAGTTAAGTCAGATTGGAGCTACATCATATAAGTGAGCTACATCATATACCCTAATCAATTTCAATGAAATTGCAACAAAAAAAGAAAATTTTAAAAAAATTTCAAAATTTAATTTAGAAATTACTCACTTTTATAATTTTTAAAAAAATATAAATAATTAATTTATCAAAATAGTATTATATCATTAAATCGTATGTCACGTGTCACATAATTTAAAACATTTGACATAACTAATTTTTAATTCAAAAATATGAAAATGATCAAAGTTAAATGATTTTAAAATTAGAGACCAATTGTATAATCACTGTTCACTATTATATTACAACCAGAAATATTTCAGTATGCCAAAACAACTATTGTATATTGTATAATGCAGAATCATGGATTTACAAAAAAAATAAGCTACTAATCGAACAAAAAAATGCCTTCAATTGAATATCATGATCCTGTATTCAAAAAAATCTAATAAAAATCTTAACATACTAATATTATCCTCCTTCTCTATCATCATTAATATCAAAATATTATAAGAACAATTTTGGTCACTTCAAGAGGCAAATAAATCTTAGGCAAAGGTTGTTTTCAGGATGAGGAAGTAATATCCTGAAAAACCTGCAACCTGACTCTTCTTGTTAGCTTATCTTCTCCAGAAAATAAATCCCTTTCACCCGGATTCGTAAACAGCGAACGCCTTACTGTCGGATTCCTCGATAAAGGATCTATCCCAGGTGCAGCATTATATCCATTCTTCAAGTTCAATAATTCAAGCTTTTCGTTTAAGCTTTCATGTTGATACACTATGTTTGAGTCTTCGTTTTCGTTACTAAACATTTCAGCACCAAAGTTTGTATATCCGTTATTGAAGAACTCATATTCTTCAGTTTGTTGCTCTTCTTCTACCATATCTGCCCAACTCTTCTTCTCAACTGGTTTTTTGTCTGCAAATTCATATGAAGATTGTTAAGCAAGTTACTGTCAATAAATCGGTAAGACTAAGATATTTTTCACTACCTTGATTTTGTTGGTCTGTTCTATCAACAGAAGCTGCAAGTTCATTGGCTCCATTCACAACTATGCCGTGCAAATTTGTATCAGATTTGTTGTTGTCGTCGTCATTCTTTGTGAGTTTCATAGCCGTCTCTGAGTTCTTAGGATGTATCGTACCAGAACCGTATATGGTGATTGTGTTTCCTTGCTTTACTGTTGTTGTAGGTCCACATTTTACTACTGCAGTATCATCTTCAAATGTCCTTGTTCTCCAACTTGCATTGGTATTCGGAAAAAACTCGTTCTGTGTCGAGTTTGGCTTAATTATGTATGGAACAACCTTCTCATTAGGATAAGTCAGAGGTGAAGGTTTAGAATCTGAATGATTATTGAAACCCCAAGATGATCGTTTTGGTTTTGCGTAAGGAACCTTCGGATCAGGAGACTCGTATAATCTTCTCCTTGCGTGAGAATGACGAGATTCTTCGCAATCAGAAGTCAAAGACCAATTATTTTCTGTCCTACTTTTAACCATATTATCCGAGTTCTTTCCGGTAGACCAATTGTTTTCTGTCCTACTTTTAGCCATATTATCTGAGTTCTTTCCGGTAGAGTTCTCCGAGTTCGGTGTGGAGTATTGTGATGACATAGTCTTCCCTGAAAATCTCTGAGTTTCTATAATTTTATCACCTTTATCTTTGACTGAATCTACCAACTGTGTTGATTCGATTTCCTGCAGCATTTGTGTAGCGCGTTCAAAAGACTTGACGAAAGAATCGTCCATTTTTCTGTTTTTCGTTGCTGTAGTTACTGCCTGAAGTAGAAACCTTGCTTCTGTAATTTTGTTCATTTTCATTAAACATATTGCCAAATTGCACTGTTTGTTCCTATCAACCTCAAAGGAAAGTGCTTTTCTGAAAGACACAAACAAATAAGGAACTTTTATTACTTCTCTCTAAAGAAAAACAAAATCAGAAATGCATTTTGATTCCATCAAATAAAACACTCACCTATAATGTTCTTCAGCGGTTTTATAGTCGCCTTTTTGCAAATAAGCCCAAGCCAAGTTGCCAAGTATCCTCGATATCTCTTGCTCAGCGGTTATTTGAATTTTCTTCCCTTGAGATCTCGCTTGTTTTGTCGACCTTCCGACAAATGTCATACCGTCTTCAATTTGCTTCAATTTGTGATGAAGCATGTCAATCTCTTCATCAACTCTTCCTGACCTCTATAACAACATATACAAAATTGAGTTACAGACATCATAGCAAAAATTGAGTTATGACAGAATTATATGAAGAAACTAAGAGACTTGTCTGAATCCTTATACCTTATACAATTCAACCAAGATGTTGTCAAGAGATTCCTGAGAATCAGAAGGGCAGAGATGGCGGAAAGACTTGATTGCTTCAATTGCCTCGTCGGACCGGTTCAATTGCTTCATAACTAAAGCCATGTCCTTCAAAGCACTCTCGACGCGATCACCCGCATTAATGGCAGCCCAGAAAAGGGAAATAGCTCTACCTGGATCTTTTTCCACTAACTGTAAGCAAACAATTCAGATTCCCAATCATTGAACAGAAACCCAAGAAAGAAAATAAACTGATAAAAATCACTTCAAATTCTCATTTTCAGACCATGAGAATTTCAAAGTCCAACACAAACTGTAATTTGAGTATTCAAATTCCCAATCATTACACGCACAAAAAACTTCAAAACTAAAAATTCAAGTTCTTTTTCTTCAGATTGATAACAACAACCCATCAAAGAAAGAAGAAAATTACTGAGAAAAATAAGAACTTTCTTTCCTTTTCAACAGAAACATCAATTCAAGACCAAGAATTCAAAGAGACAAACCAAGAACATGATAACCCAGAAGGAAAAAACAATCAAAAATAGAAACTTTAAGCAACGAAAAGTTAATTTACCTGAACCTGTTTGGCCTTAACATAAGGAGAATCCCCAGAAGGAACCTTATGAATGACATGAAAAAGATCATCTTTATGAACAGAAGCAGGTGATTTCTTTCTCTCTGAAAAAGGCACAGTGGGAGAACGCAAAGGCCTTGAATTCCATGAAGACGGCGATGGTGTCATGTAGCATCTTGCCGGAGAGTTTCTTTCAAAAGTCATTCTGATAAGAAACTTTCAACCAAAAAGGCAAGGTTTTTGGAAGAGTGGCCTCCACTTTTTCTTCTTCCTTTCAGAAATGGGTTGAAAGGAAAAGAGAGAAAGAGAGGAAATTTGTTGAGAGATGAAAGGAAGAGACAGTAACAGTGGCAATGAGTGTTGCAAATGATGGAAAGTGAAGGAATGAAAAAACGAGAGTGAAAGTGAAAGAAAAATATGTAAAAGAAACTAGCCGTTTTATAATTACTAGCCGTTGGAGTTATCGAGCCACGGTTCATGTTCTGTTTTGCACCTTTTCTTTTTGGGCTTTGAGTTTGAGCCCATTAGTTGCTTTTAAGCACCCCTATTTTGACTAACTTCTTTCCTTTTTTTTGGGTTTATATGTGATTTTAGTCTTTGTGGTGTTTAGAAAAGTTATTCATATTAAAATTGATCTTTGTAAAACTTAAATAAAAGAAAATTAAAAGCGAAAGAAAATATGGATTATATGCATGTATTTATTGGTCTCGATTATTGATTTAATATTGACTCGCTCATATTAAATTAATATGAAATTAAAACTCGCACACACTCGTGAATTTACTCTAACTTTTATAGACAAGTCCTTCTTTAACAAAGTGATATTAAATTTTTTTTATATTTAAAAGTAATGAGTTTTAGCCCATAAATATTTGATTATTGAATTGGGATTATTTTTGCCATCTTTAATAGTGTTCACACACATTGGTTACTTTTTTTTTCATCTTTAATGGTGTTCACAGCCCTCATTTTACTAAAATTTAGTCTAAATAAATATGGAAGTCTACTTTCGTATGAGACAACAATACCTGTTCTTGTGACTCTAAAACTTCACACTTAAGTTTGAATGTCTAAAATATGTGATCTTAAGGGTACAAGGTATAACACCTCGCTTTTTAAAGATTATTTATTTTAAGTAAATTTATGTTTTATTTATCTATTTAAATGGACTTTATATGCATTGATGATATGGTCTTTTGTGCATGTTTATGCTATGTTGGAGTTGGTAAAAAGTGTTGTTATATAATTAAATAATTAAATAATTAAATTAATTAAAATTAAATAGAAAATAAAGGTTTTGAGTGAAAAATAGACACTATGAGAAAAATAAGATAAGTGGTGAGAGTTATAATAAGGGGAGTTGGAAGATGGCCTTAGAGCTTATCTTCATTTACTTTATCGTTTATCGCTTTTAGTTGGTTAAATGCTTTGATCTGTAACATCGGGAATGATGCGTTTTTGTTATGTTTTGAGTTAATGTCGAACCATGTGGTTTAAAGTCTAATACTTTATTTGCGAAATTTAATTTTGAAGTTATTGTGACATGATTTTCCGCTGCTTGTTGTCAAATGTGTTGATGAGTTTTTGGATGGTTGTCGTAGTGACACCTTGGATACCCAACGGAGAAGCCGGAGCCTGAACGCTCAACGAAGATTGACCGGAATCTGAATACTCAACGGACGAAGAAACACTCATTAGGGTCTGAATACCGCCGTAGTTTTAAGAATGTCGTTTCAAATTGCCGGAGTCTGGATACTCAACGAACAAAATGGGTCACATCACTAACTGCCATGGTCTGAATACCATACAGGGATAAGAAGTACATCACATATTGGAAATTTTTCGGAGTCTGGATACTCAACGACATTGACCAGAGTTTGGATACTCAACGGACGAAGGGAAAATATCACAAATATACCCATCAAAGTCTGAACACCACACCGTCTTCACCGGAGTCTGGATACTCGACGACAAAAGCACATTAATATCAATTGTCGTGGTTTGGATACCACAACCATCTTTACCGGAGTCTGGATACTCAACAGAAAAAGGAAAACCCCATCAATTGGGAATGGACCAGAGTCTGGATACTCGACGGACTAAGGACTTCATCATAAATACCCATCAAGGTCTGGATACCAAATGAGTTCAAAACAACATGACCCGCCGAAATCTGAAAACACTGCTAGGGAATGATATAAGCCGGGGTCTGGATACCGCGCGGGCTACCGGAAATTTCCATGGTCTGGATACTATAATAGCACAGATGTCGATTCTCCGGAGATATACCTGAAACAAAGAGATAACAACCTGGCTTATGTTTCACATGCATATGTTTGAAAATGGCGTAATGCTCCATACGAAATGGAAATGCTACGCGTTTGGGTATATGCAATGCACGCATGCAGATGCAACGGAACTGAATCAGCCAAATAAATGCTAGAGATACGGAAACCACCCTGCTGGGGAAACAACCTACTCATGCCAATAACAATTGGACTCATGCCGAGGAAACGGGCCCTTGCTGGCTTCCTGCAAAGAAAATGCCGGGGTACCCACGTTCCTCCATCCTACTGGGGACTACTCAACTGGGGATGAATCTACCTTGCCTGTAGATTACTCAGTGGGAAGAAAATCCCATCATGACTCACTGGGGAGTATGTACGAACATGCACTCCGTGGGGATTAAATGTGCACCAACTGCCGAGGGAAAGCGTACACGCTATCTGCTCACTTAAACCGCATACAAACTCTACTGGGGATAGAGACGCCAACTCCACTTACTGGAGAATAGACTCTGGTCGGAGATAAACAAATTTCATCCACACCTATTTGCCCCCAAGGGTAATGACCCTGCAAAACTGAACAAACAGACAATATATCCTACGCAAGCGGAACTATCTCATTCATCATTCATGACGTTGTTCAATTAATTCAAAGTTTTAACAATTACTGGCCAAGGCCTGCAAGTTTATGTATGTGCAAGTTTATCAAAACATTGGGCGTTTTTTCATAAACAAAATAGTAACAGTTAAAACAGAGCAAACAAGATACTGAATAGTATATGTTTATTGATAAATGACTTGTAAATAGGCAAAGTTTTACATAAGATGCAACCCCTGAAAAGAGGAAGTTGTGCAAACAAACAATACAAATATGCACAAAAATAAACAAAAGTGTACAGAAATGTCGACAATGTGGCACAGACAAACACCATGAGCTGATCCCTCTATGACTCGCCTGACCTTGATGCTTTCCCGATGCTTCGTCTTCAGAAGAGATTGATTCGGATAAACGGCCCTCAGGTCCTTCCAATCCACTAAGCAATGAAGTTCAAACACAGACCGCAGTCATTTGCTCTTCAATCCCTAACTTTTGCCTGAACGGCCCTTTCGGGTTTTCGATTCATCGGGATACCCATTTTTTCCAAAGTCGCCTTTTCAGGTTTTCGACTTTGCGGGTTTACATCTTTTCATTTTTATCCCTAATTTTTGCCTGAACCCAATTCCTTTTTTATGGTTCGCCGGGATGCCCCTTTTTTGCCTGGATATTCTTTTTCTTTCCAGCGGATCCTTTTAAGCAAAGTATTTTTTAACTACGTCTGCGTTCATAGGGGATGTGAAATCCTCACCATCCATGGTGGACAACAACAAGGCTCCTCCGAAGAAGACCTTTCGCACGACATATGGACCTTCATAGTTGGGAGTCCATTTGCCCCTGTGATCTGATTGTGGTGGGAGAATCTTTTTCAGCACAAGATCGTCCGTCTGAAAGCTCCGAGGGCGCACCTTCTTGTCGAAAGCTTTCTTCATCCGACTCTGATACAACCGACTGTACGCAATAGACGCTAGCCTCTTCTCATCCATCAAGCTAAGCTGATTCAATCCGTTCTTTATCCATTCTGCCTCATCGAGCTTGACGTCGACCAGAACTCTTAAAGAAGGAATCTCGACCTCCAATGGTAGGACAGCTTCCATACCATATACCAACGAGAAAGGAGTTGCCCCGGTTGATGTGCGTACCGTCGTATGATAACCGTGAAGAGCAAAGGGCAACATCTCATGCCAATCCTTATAAGTAACAACCATCTTTTGCATTATATTCTAAATATTCTTGTTAGCCGCTTCAACAACGCCATTCATCTTCGGACGATAGGGAGATGAGTTGTGATACTCGATTTTAAAATTTTGGCACAATTCCTTCATCATCTTGTTGTTTAGATTCGAACCATTGTCAATAATGATTCGCTTGGGTACTCCATATCTGCAGATGATGTCCTTCTTTATAAACCGGGCTACGACTTGCTTTGTGACATTGGCATACGAGGCTGCTTCAACCCATTTGGTGAAGTAATCAATGGCAACCAAGATGAAACGATGATCGTTAGATGCGGTTGGCTCAATCTTCCCAATCATATCGATGCCCCACATGGAGAAAGGCCACGGGGACGCCATAACATTCAATGGGCACGACGGTACATGAATTTTGTCTGCTTAAATCTGGAATTTATGGCATTTCTTCACAAATTTGAAACAATCTGACTCCATGGTTAGCCAATAATACCCTGCTCGTAACAGTTTCCGAGACATGGCATGCCCGCCAGCATGTGTACCAAAAGTACCCTCGTGGATTTCTTCCATAAGCAACGTTGCTTCCTTTTCATCCACGCATCTCAACAACACCAAATCATGGTTCCTTCTGTAAAGCACACCATCTGGGTTTAGATAAAAGTTACCAAACAACCTCCTCAGAGTCTTCTTATCCTGAGCTGAAGCCCCTGGTAGATACTCCTGCTTCTTGAGGAAGTTTTGTATGTCGTAAAACCATGGCTTGCCATCAGCAGCCTCCTCAATGGCGAATACGAAAGCGGGCCTATCAAGGCGAGAGATGACTATTCTTGGAGCATCATTCCAAAAATTCACCTTATACATCGAAGATAGCGTTGCCAGAGCGTCTGCCATCTGATTCTCTGCTCACGGCACATGATGAAACTCTACCCTGTCAAAGAAGGGTAACAACCTCCTTGCATAGTCTTTGTAAGGAATTAGATTTGGCTGACGAGTTTCCCACTCTCCCATGATCTAATTAACCACTAGCGTTGAATCGCCATATACATCCAAATTCTTGATTCTCAAATCAATAGCCTCTTCCAGACCCATGATGCACACTTTGTACTCGGCTTCATTATTAGTGCAAGGGAATGT